CATAGTCGAACTTAATATTTGTTCAATTACAATGTGTGTAGCACTAGAATGTCAGTAGTATTTGTATAGGGGATATTATAAAAAAATCAAATTTATTTAAGATAACAAAGTTAAAAGAGCCACACATATATATGTCGACCTTTATCCAAAAAGATCATCGTTAGCTTGATGCAAATTTTATTGCTAGTGCTATATTAGCCCTTGTAATGAATAATTTTTCCATGACGATTGCAAGCATACATGATGAAGATAAAATTGCATTACAAGTATAAAATATCATATGATAAATCATGAGTTGCAAAACAGAAGGTGATTAAACATTTTTTGGTTTACATAAAAAGTCTTTTAAGAAATTACCTATGTTGTTGTTGGCAATAAAAGATTCAAATCCTAGAATAGTTGTTGAATGGATACACAAAATATATCTTAATGATAGTATAATGGTTTTTAAAAGAGTTTTTTTTTTTTTCATTTGGACTTTGTATTGAAGATTTTAAGCACTAGAGGCCACTTATCAGTGTTGATGGGACATATTTATATTGATGATCTTATGAAAAGTTATTAATTACAATTGCTTTTTATGTAAATAATAAAATATTTTTGTTAGCTTTTGTAATTGTTGATTAAGAAAATAATGATATTTTGATATGATTTTTTTCTTTGCTTATAAAGATACCTTATTGGTGGTATAACTGATATATGTGTAATATTATATAAACATGCATGAATCAAGAATAAAGTAGCATAAATTTAGTGTTAACTTTTGGAATATCATTGGTATTGTGCCATACATTTTGCTATCAACTTCAATTATAAATTCAAAGACTCAGGTACCAAAAAAGATTTAATGAGGAAGTGTTATGAACCTTTTAGGAAAAAATCTGATTTATGGTATGAAAGAATATGAAGTATGAACTCAACATATATAGAATGATTTGAAAAGGAGCAAAAAAAAAAAGCTTTATGTTATTTTAATTTTTTCACAAGTATGCCATAACATATATACTCTATATGTTTTGTAGTGTATTATTGACTGATCTCACAGGGAGATATGTTCCTCTGCTTTATCTGATACTCTTGAAAATTTTTAATGCTATCCTTACATATAGTTAGGGAATTGCTGTATTCGTATCTTTATATAAACATTTATATCTTGTATGCATAAAAGAGGCTAAAGAAGTCGGGGGATATTTGTTACTTTTACAGGTATAAATAAAAAAAAATCTAAATAACTATTTTGATTTGAATGTTTTCATACACAAAAAAAATAAAAAAAATATTTTTATTTAATAACAATTATAATCATGAGAACATCTCCATGTGGGCAAGCCTTAAATACTGAGATTGTTGGATATGTCAGTCTAAACTATGAGGGTTACACTTCATCTCCTACTAGGATACATGTATTGTGATGTTATTTTTCCATTACATATATTTATATTGTGTTCTTGAAACTTTAAAAAATACAATTAACTTGCATGTTTTTAATGCTATTTGATGTGCTAGATGAGTTTTTGAAAATAATCTAGCATAAGTTTCAACATTTTATCAGAGTGAGCTCGATAAACAACATGTTATCTAGGTATTTCTTAAACTATTTGTTAAATAAAATAATTAACTGCATCAAATATTATTTGCATGTATTTGTTAAATAAAATAATTAACTACATCAAATATTATCTGCACCAACTGGATGGATTACAAACAACAATTGTCTCGCTAATATGTTTTGAGATGGTTGAGTTATATTGTCTAAATAGGATAATGCGATAATTCAGCTACAAACAATGCATTTTAGTTGATACCAATACGAGTGATGCTTTGCATGTCATTACTTGTAGGGGTAAAAATAATAATTATGACTGGTTATATCGGCAAAGTGCTCATGTATCACAATGAAATGCATGAAGAAATAAGATATTTACAGAGATGTATCTTATGATTATTGACAAGGAGTATATGATTTGATATATGAGTATAATATGATAAATTATTACTCCAGATCTCGAGCAAGTTCCTCCACCACGATACATGCGCTATAAGCAAAATGTCAAGTGGATTTAACATTACATAAGTAATAAAATATTTTTATGATTAATATATATTAACTATTGAGTTTTATGTGTTTATATCTTAATTTAATATCAATTTTTTTAATTAATATTAGACTGGCTTCTTACTATGAGAGGATTAAGAGAACATATCTTATTTTCATAGTATTGATGAAGAAAATAAAATTCACACCATAGCGTTTTGGTGATTAAATCTTTATCATACTAGATTTGAAATCTTTGAAAAGAGGATAAATCTTGATTATACCATGATAGAGAGCAAGGCCACTCAAGCAAGAGCTGGATCTAAAGTGCTACTGATGAGGTAGATTATTATTGTATTATTGTATTATTGTATTATTTTATATTTATTTTGCATGTATATTTATTATTATTATTTTTTTGCACTTATAGGGCTACTGTGATTATGAAATATGATGAGTTTAATTAGAATTTGTTGATTATAGTTGTGTTTTTTTAGGCAAGATAAAATTTTAGGTATAGTTTTTATATAGAAAAAACTGTGTTCAAATTTTAATGATTTTTTAGGCAAGATAAAATTTTAGGTATGGTTTCTATATAGAAAAAACCGTGTTTAAATTTTAATAAAATAATAAATATTTTAACCCTCTAAAATTATAAAGTAAATAAAATTTTAATTTAACAAAAACTATGATTTTATCTACTTTTTCAAGTTTAAAATAAGAAAACAATCTAACCAACTATTTTATTAAATATTTAATTTTTTTAAAATAATTTCTTTAAAAATATCACGGTTTAAAACCGTGATATTGAATAAGATCTCACGTTTCTAAATTATGAAATTCTCAAACTGTGATGGTTTTTTAATTCTTTTATATCTTGAACTAGTTTGACATTTAATTATATTTTTGGTGATAATTACTGAATATATCCCCTTATATATAATTCAGCTTATACGCGTTTAAAAATTAAAATTAGTGAGGTGTTTCTCACTGTGTTTAAAATGAATAATGACCCTTCCACGTCAAAATCACAATGACTTCGTTTCGGTGAAATCTTCAATGTGGGTCTCCAATTCGACAAAGTAAATTTCAATCCTCGGATATAAAAATTAAATATTAAAAACAATTCCATCAATTGGTGGGAGATGGAGCGCATAGGAGAAATCCATCAATTGGTGGGAGATGGAGCGCATCGGAGAAATAGAGGTAGAGAGAATCACGAGAACGCAAATTGGACCCTTTTCAATCTCTATCAGATACGCCGAGCCTTTTAAGATACTGATGGATAGTACGGTTGTATTATATTAAAAAAAACAGTTTAATTGTTTATTATTTTAATATATTGATAAAAAATAAAAAATAATATTATTTTAATATGTTTTAAAATATTTTTTTTAAAATTTTTTTACCACACGAACTCAAAACAAATTATAGATATTTAAGAGCTAAAACATGAATGAAAAACCTAGGTATGAGCTACTATTATGATATAAGAATTATATGAATCCGGAAATGATGGGTAATTTGTTGTTTAAATGTGAATAAAAATAGATTTTGATGTGGCAATGGTTTTATGAAGGTATTAAAATGAGTTTTATTTGGAAAAGAATTTTTTTTTTTAAATGAGGACTCCGAGCTTCTCAATCATGAAGAGTGTTTTTGTGTGTATAGTTATAATTGTTTTTTAAAATATTTTTTATTTAAAAAATATATTAATAATAATATTTTATTTTTTAAAAATTATTTTTAAAACTAGTATATTAAAATAATTTAAAAATACAAAAATATTAATTAAAAAAATTAAATATTTTTAAAATACAATACCGAACATATAAAAAAATTGTTTGTTTTTTCTTTTTGAAGGCCTGGTGAACTTGGTCCAGGTGTGCCCAGCCAGTGCAAGAGGTAGGCATGCTTTACTCTTTTTATATATATATATATATATAAGCCTTTTCCCCTTAATTATTTTATTCATTTCTATTAATATTCGACTTTCTTTGATATCCAGAAAATTCTTAAATATTTTTTTTCAACAATTAGTATTTTAAATAAAACGAATATGATATATTTTTTCTTTTAGTTTAAAACACATAATGTATAATTGTATTAAATATCTTTTTTTAAATAATGTTTACTTATTTTTAATTAATTTTTTTATTTTAATTTCACACATCCTAAAGATTATGTACATAATAATTCACATGTTTCAGATTTATAAAAAAAATATTTGGTTTTTTCTTAATCTTTTTCTCTCCATCCCTTGATTTAAGATCTTATGCAACTTTTTTTCATCATTTATAATATTTAAAATTATTTTTTAAATTATGAAAATTCCCTTAGATAATACTTAGACCTGTATTTTTATTTCTTAAAAAAATTTAAGAACACAATGCTTTCAAATATACTACCAATTAAAAAAAATGGTTTGAATAAAATGTATTTATAAGTTTAATTTTATATTATATGTTGACTGAAAAATGATACTCATTTAAGGATGTAACCATGTTTTAAGGTATAACATTTATTCACTTGATAATGATCTCTCCAAATAAAGAAATTGTTGATCATATTTAGTATATTAGATCCATTATAAACTACATCAATAAATATAAAAATATAAAAAATTTAATAAATTTAAATTTCACATGATTTTAATAACATATTTAATTTATAAATCATGTGAATTTTTTCTTGAATGCTTGAGTTTTGTGATGGTCTATAACAATTGTAATTGTTATCTGAAATCATTTTAAAACTATTAATCAAAACATAGAACTTGTATGATTATTAATATTACAATATATAAAATTAATTGAAATATATATAAATTAACTTGAATATTTATATTAATAAAAAAATATAGAAATAGTGTTTAAATTAAAAAAATTATATTGTAATATTTAAAATAAAAAAATATTTTATTTTTTTTAAATGAAAAACTATTAAAAAAAAAGCATCCTAGACTTGAAACAGTCAGGCACCCGGTTTCTACTGCTCGACGGAAATTTACTCAGCTGAACGAGGCTTTGCCAATGTAGTCCTTCTTGATTTCAACTGTTTCAACGCTCTCAATTCCACGACCCATCACAACAATTTTCAAAGGGAGACAGACAGGCACATACATGCCTTGCTCCACAACTGCTTTTTTTACCACCAGTTTTCAGGTAACGATCACAATCACAACTTCTCCTCCGCTGTCCCTTTCACTTTTATCTCTGTTTTCTTTTTTCTTTGGTTACAGAGAAGAGAAAGGTTCAAATCCGAGACCACTAGGGGATATCAGAGCATGGGTGTCAGTTGAACTACAGCCTCATTGACTTAGTATTCTTTTTGTCTATCATCGTGTGATCAAACAAGAAGTCTAAAGTTTTTTAGACGTACTTTAAAGGGTTATATACGAGTGGGTGGAGTCACATAATTCATTCATAGATCAAATTAAGAAAAGATGTCAATGTGTATAGAGGCGACTGATAATCTAGGTAGCTGCTTCCTATAAACTTATTTCACGAGACTATATCGACAAACTCTTATTTAACCTGTAGTTATGGTCCAAAATATTCTTCTTTCAGGAAAATTTACAAGCAGTTGATATGCATAATTACATTGGAAATTACTTGTTGTAGAAAGAGGGGAGGAGTTCATGTGTTTTGCCTTTAATTTCCAGTTCTTACATCACTCTTTAGTGCCTTGGTAATTAGTTTGCTAAATGCGCTGGAGAATTTCATTACAAACCACTTTTTATTGTTATTGAATTTCCAGAATTTCTACTGATGGCTGACAATGAAATGTTTAAGTGGAGCAAAACTTAAAAGAGTATCCATACTTTGAGATGATTTAGTAGTGTTGAGATTTTCCTCTAGCAGATTGAAGGAACAAGTTCAGTTGTAGCAAGAGTGTTGTTAAAACAGGAACCGTTGCATCTAGGCTGCCTGATTTGTTATCTGGTCATAAGAAAAAACTTCTTGAATTTAAATGGTGGTGCTTGACACCATCATAAATGCCATCCAAACAAACAACAACGAAGAAAGGTGTTGAAATGAAGACCCTTTTCGAATGGAATGCATTAATTCATATTGCATGATCAGTTTATGGGGTATGTGGAAGTTTCTTCTTGCCAAACCGAACTGATTGTTTGTTTTGAGCCATCATAAGTTTCTGTTTGAGTTTGTTTATGTGATACTATAAGAATCTTGTAACCAAGATTGTGTTTTTGCAATGGGAAACAAGGCCCTTTTAGTCCAACTAGCCTATTAATGATTCAAATGAAACTTTAAAAGCCAAAGTTGTGAAAACCAATGGAACCTTTGAAAAGAGCTTTCTAAATCTAATCTAGAAATTCTGTTGATCGATCACTGAAAACCAATGTTCAGTGATACATTGTCAATTAACATTCTAATAATGCTGGGCTTGAATGTTATTGGAATTTGACTTGGCTGTAAAAAGATCAATATTATCACAGCCTCCAAATGCTATGCTACTCAACGTTGAGAAATTTGCTCTGAGGAGGTGGATATGCTGATCTGCATACATGAATTCCTTTTTTGTCCATCCAATTATGCTTATAATGCTTCCTCTTAGCATAGCCAGATCTCGTACAATTTGTTAAGTTCATTAATGCTCCTTTCAACTCTTAACATATCCAGAACACTTACACAGTTGCATTTAGAGATGTTATACGTGACCCATTGCACTCTTAGAATATGCAGAACTCTTATACGAAATTAAATTTGTTAAATCACCTTTTGACCTTTGATGTCTCCCTATTTCTCATGCTTTATCTTCCTAAAGGTTTATCCAACCTCAGTGATGAGGACGAACTACGTGAATGGGCTTTGTAGGATATCTGATTTCTGGATGTTGCCAATCTGCTTGTTTTTGAAGCTGTTTTACTGATTTTTTTTTAAATTTTTGATAATTAAACTGCTTTAGTGATTTTGAATATTGAATACAAACAAAATGGCCGTGAATGCCAAATTCATTGCATTTCACTTAAATTGTTGTTTAGAGCGTAACATTTTGGCCATTATTCAACGTGTTTAGCAGTAACTTCTCGACTGTTGCAGCAACTGACACGGCGATAGGCAGGTGTTGGATCGACGCTTTTGCAGTTGCATGCAGGCTCTCTTCTCCACTCTATTTAAACACGGGTTGCTGAATTTCTCTTTGCAAGTCCATCCATCCATCTTTAGTTTCTTCACTTTTGTTATTGCTAAACTTCCTTTTCTGCTTACAAAATCCTTGTAGTTTTCAATTCAAGAAACCAGTGGATTCATAATGGTTATGAATGTTATTTTCATTTGCTGACATGGGAAATTTTCCTTATCAGAGCTTCCAGAGTCTTGCCTTAGTTGCTCTGTAAGTCAAGTGCACTAGTTCTGCATGCTTCTGACATGCAAATATCATTCCATCTATATTGCTGTATCGTTATTATAATGCAAATCAAGATGCTGTCATTATGTCCATCTGGGTTTAATGTGCTCTTTAAATCTCTATTAAGTAGATTTCATGCAGAAACGTTGTTCTATTTTCATGTCTATTATTTGATTCTTCTGCAGATCTCATGTTTTTTTTTTTTTTTTTTTTTTTTGTGTTAGATTGCTTTGTATGGTTAGAATATTTTAATATCCAGATCAAATTCCTGATTTTACCTAAGAAAATAAATTTCTCTGGCAAGTTCAGGTGCTGATATTACTTCTTAGGAATCCTTGTCAAAATTGTCTTCTTTTTATTTCTTAGAACATGTAATTCAAGTGTGGTTGTGCAAGGTGAAGAATCTGATAGGAAATCTTGTTGGGAAATTAACAGTATGGATGAAGATCATAGGAGCTCTAAATATTTAATTTCAATATCATTGCCATTGCCTATTGACAAAATTGGAAATAATGATAGTCATTTTAATTTCAATATCATCGCTTAAAGCAACTATTGAAGTTCAAAAAATTGTGATTGTGATTTACAGTTGTCAAAGAAAGTTAAGAAAAAACGCATCTTTTACATGTGTGCATGTATCATTTTGGCTTAAAGTTGAAGATTTTCTGTCTCTATCATTAAAAGGAAGGCTTTGATCGACCACTGCATGCATAGAAAACTTAGGAAACAAACCTTCTGTTTAAAATAGGTGGTTCCTTCTGCTCTTCAATGTGTTGAAACTTTACAATGATGTTCCATTTATAATGGTAGAATTATCTGTTGGAATTGAAGTGACGCATGCATTTAATTCCCAAACAAGAGCCCAAATGGCTAAGGTTTTCATGTGGTAATAGATCTTTCAATTTTAAATCTTTTGTTGGCGCATGAGAAATCAATACATTTGCATCCACTTTAGTTCCAGGAAAATGACATGAAAGGTGATCTTCAAGACACATGGGAGCACTCATTTCTTTTTCATAATAGCATAATCTCAGACGATATGTCAATTGGTCTTGATAAGAGGACTGATTATCTCATGTTTTATCTAATGCAGTCAGTAGCTAGAAGCAGCTTTAAGCTGTGGACAATCTCAGCTGTTGAAAAGCATGATGGGGGCTGACAGCAAACTCATTCAAGGTGACTCTTTTCTATCCAAGGGCGTAGCTTAATCTAGTAAAGTTAATGCTCAATGAACTCTAAAGAGATCTAATCAAGGAAATTTTATTTTGACAAATATAATTTGTAACTTGACAAATATAACCAAGCATGAGGGAGCTGACAACAAACTCATCCAATGTGACTCTTTTCCATCTGAGGACGTAGCTTAAAACTAGTAAAGTTAATCCTCAATGAACTCTAAAGAGATCTAATCAAGAAAATTTTATTTTGACAAACATAATCTGCATCTTGCACTTTGATGCCCTTACTGATCACCACATTTCAACTCCCAACACATTCATATTGGCATGTAGCCCCCAATTTATTTGTGTTTGTTCCATTGCATTGGCACCTCATATCAACTCTTTGGTGTATTTGACGATCGATCTAAAGTACAGTCTGTTTTACAATTTCCATATGTTACATGGCTTGTAGATGTCCAAAGAGACAAATCAAATAGATCCTTGCGTGTCTTTGTTTTTTTTGTCTGTGCATGCGTGTGTATTAGATCTTGCTACTTTCTTTCTCTTAGTCTGAAGTGCATGCGTGTGTATTAGATCTTGCTACCTTCTTTCTCTTAGTCTGAATATAATAATGATTGCTGCTTCGGGATGCCTTGCCTGGCATTTTAGAGGACTTCAGAATTTGCTTAAAAGAATTTTACTAATAATTCCTGTGATCGAGTGAGTCTTGATTGAGTGATTTGCAGTTTCAGTGTGACTGATCAAACTTTCCTTTAATCTTTTTAGTGTCATCGACTAGTCGCCATTTTAGTGAGTGTGATGTTCACCTTAGTCACTCAATCCTTGTATTGACTGTATGCTTTCTGCTTTTCCAAATCTAAGCTCATAAATACACTTTCACTTGATGCAGGATGGACTTGATGATGGCTTTGGTCCTCAGGTCATGACCAAACTGATGTCTACCAAGCCAAATAAGGCATCAAAATGGAGTTACCAGGGAGTGGCTGAAAACCATGACAAACAAATTGCAACTTCAGTTTTAGCCCCTCAATTTTACTCACATTCCAAACATTATTACCCTCTTTTACTCACATTCCTAACATTACATAACCCTTTATTAGTTTATAAAATTCAAATATGATATTTACTAAAACTGACAAGAGTGGTACGTAGTAGCAAATTTTCTAGTTAATAAAACAAAGCCACCAGAATGAAAATGCAATATGAGCAGAAGATTCAGCGTTGGTGCTGCCGAAAAATTGAAACTGACTGGAAGGGCCAGTTGAAAAAAGGTTCTCCATATCAAAATGGACACAGAGTATTGAATGATGAGTCTTTGGGGCTGTGTTAGCGATCAGAGAGAATCTTGTGTGAGTGATGTGTGTGTTTAAGGAGGTGTTTTGATTTCAAGTGAGCATACAATCTGGTAAGAAAGGTTTACGGGCGGTGCAAGGTGCTGCAAGTTGAATTTCACCATAAACCCCAAACCTTTCATTTAAAATAAGTAGCTAGTATTTCCAGTGAGTTTCTTTCTAATAATTCAAGGCGCTAGAATCCCTGTGCATGAGAATAGACAATCATGGAGCTAGCACAATCCAGAGGCTTTACGCTTTACCTTTTCCTACTACTCAACACTCTCACCAACGCTAGGTACGCTGGCCTTTGTGTGTGCTGAAGAGAGAAGAGAGAAAGAGACTGGCAAAGATGGTATATAGAGTCGGAGTGAGATGACTGTTGGCATTTGGTCATCAATGCATTGTTTCGCCGTTATAGAATGGTTTTCTGTGCAAGGTTGGCCCAAGGGCTGCCACATTTAAATCAAAGCTTGCGCCAAGTTTCAAACCCTATGCCTCTCTGTCTGAGGTCCCTCAGTGGTCAGTCGGGTATCCCAAAACCACCACCCTCCGGCCACTTGTCACTCTCTTCACGCTATGGGCACTCTCCATATTGTTAACTCCAGTTCCCCCATGGGCACTCTCCATATTGTTAACTCCAGTTTTCTCCCCCTTCTTTTCTTTCTTCATGGCCTTTAATCTCTCTCTTACAACTCAACCCACTGCATTTCTTGACGAGTTTATCTTGCCTTTTAACACCTGGGTTGTTTCAACAGGCAGCACCTCGCACCGCCCATGACGCTTTCTTACCAGATTGTATGCGCCCTAGAAATCAAAACACCTACTTAAACACACACACACACACACAGAGGATTCTCACTGATCGGTAACACAGCCCCAAAGACTCATCATTCACAACTCTCTTTGTGTCCATTTTTGATATGGAGAACCTTTTTTCGACTTTATTCACCAGCACAGGCAACACCACCAATACCACCAATGCTAGCAACGCAATAATGGGTTGTCCTCAGAATTCCCAGTTCTCTTCTATGTATGGACCATTGAGCTACCATTCAACACCTTCAAATTCCATAACTCAGTCAAGCTGCGTTCCGCCACAGTACTTTATGCCAGCACCTTGTGAAAGTTGGCAAAATCCATACATGCATTCTCTAGAGAAGCCTAGCCATCATACACCATCTACAGATCCCTTCCTTCTTGCCATGGCTGGCCAAAATGCTTTTGAAATGCAAAGATCATGCATTTTGCAGCCTAATGCGTTACAATTAGAGCAAGAAAGGAGAGCTCTTGATGCATACAAGACCAAGTTGGCAAGGTGTAAGAGAAAACTTGCACGACAAAGTAAAACTTCTTCAACTCAAATAATGGATGCAAGGAGATTGGCTTTGCATGGTGCTAGTACTAGTGGCCAAAGAAGCAGAAGCAATACCAGCGAAGATCTTTACGAGTTCTTAACACCTGATAACAAGGTAGGTTCTTGTCAAATCATGAATTTTGGTCACCCATGTTTTTTGTTTTATCTGTTATCTTTTGAAGTTTGGATCTTTTTCTATGTCGTTTAAGAATTTTTCTTGTTTGGGTGCAGAGACTCAGAGCGGTGCTTAGGAAGGACTTGAAGAATAGCGATGTTGGATCTCTTGGCAGAATTGTCCTTCCAAAGGTATGATTTCCTTGATGAATGAGGCTATTTTTAGTGTCCTGTGATCGTATGCAGATTTTTTGCTTGTTTCGAGTTCTGTTCCTTTCTTTCATCATATCCTTTCTTCTAAAAAGACTGAAAACGAGGCCAAATAGCCGACCAATACCCATGTTTGACTTGCTCTTATTGAACACTGCAACATCAATGTGATTCAGACTGCCAATAACTAATCTCTTCCTGACTTCTCGGTTTGTGCACAAAAACGAAAAATGCTAAAGATTCTTTTCGTTTTCCATTTCCCGTGTTTCTTACAGAGATGGTAACATCTAATATTCAAGTTTTTTCTTGCATGTCAATCCAGAGAGAAGTAGAGGAAAATCTTCCTGTCCTAAATGATAAAGAAGGAATCCTACTTTTTCTCAGAGATGTATACTCTAACCAAGAGTGGGCCTTAAAGTTCAAGTGAGCCTTTGGATGCTACGTTTTTCTTCTTCTTTTTTCCTTTAAACTACTACTCCGAGATGTTCTGTTGCCTATTAAAGACAGGTTTTTTCTGTGTTGGTGACTTAGGTTTTGGTCTAACAACAAAAGTAGGATGTATATTCTTGAAAATACTGGTAAACTCACAGCTAAATCTCTTTATTTCGGATCTATTTCATTCTAAATCTCTAATACACGTATCTCTTTTACATTCCACAGGAGAATTCGTAAAGCGAAATGGGCTGGAGACTGGAGATTTCCTTACTCTTTACGAGGATGAGAGCAAGAATCTCGTGAGTTTATCTTCATTGTTACTTGCCGCAATGATTTTGGTAATTTAGATTATGACCAAAAATTAATTAAAAGTGGGATTTGAATTTTGTAAAAGGCACGAGTTTGTTTTGCTGCGTGACAATGCTTCCCTTGACGTTTTCTATGATGCTGACACATCCTTTGGAAGGATATGAAAGGATGAAGACAGACAAATTGCGCTAAAAACGACAATTTTAGCAGATGATGCGTTTGGTCATTAAACTGCCTTACCAGTTACAACTTGGAAACTCACTTGATCGGCACGAGTGCTATCTCTGTGGGGCTGAGGAGAGGGTCCTACTAGTACGGTGATACCTTGGCTGAACACATAGGGCATGACATTGAGTAAAATAAAAATAAAAAGATAGCATTTTTACCAACAACTGAAAGAAAAACACACAAGTAGTGCATCATATAATCAAAGATAAGATTATCTGGAACACAAATTTTGAGTGCAAAAATTTCAGTCGAATTTAGATTGAGCTTACCTGTCGAGGACTGGTCCATTTGGCCGTCCATAGCCTACTTACATGTACTAGTAGAACCTAACAGCCCGTGCATGCATATGAGCCATGTGTAACCTAGATGGGGCAGTCAAGACGCATCTTCCCCTAGTCCTCTCTAGGCTGAGTTTGATAAAGTGAAGTGTTATGTCTTTGCCTGATTAGTTTTCAAACAAATATTATTGCAAAATCATGAATAACTTGTTGATGTCTTTTTCATGCGAGGAAGCAGTATTTCTCTATCTCAAGAGTGGGAAGATCAGCATCGGTGCCATCTCCAACATCACAGCCTATTAACCATAACTGTAACTGCCTATACACCCCGCATATGTGCCAAGCCAGGGATGAAGAACAATCATCTTTAGCGCTACTTATAGAACAACTCGACCAAAAGGAGCAAGAAGAAGCTGACAGCCTCGTGGCTGTGCCTCCGGACTCTGCTTACATGGACAGCGTACAACTAACCAACAATCCTTTCAACAACTCAAGTACCTATTCCCAACCAGCATCTTCAGCTATGCAACCTTCTTCACCAAATGGTAAAATGAAGGCGGTAGATGATTCTCATGTCGATGACTGCTATACAGGTCTCGGTGTGCTCCCTGATGTCTACCGATACAATTTTTCGCTATGATCTATTGGATAGCATTAACCATAAATATCTAGATTCATAACATGAAAGAAGATGGGGTGACAACATTGTCAAAGCATGGTTGATGCAACTAAAAGGTTGAGTAATCAGTTGTTGATTGTAATACGACCGCTAGCAATTCCCCCCACTGATATTTAGGAGGACATAGAGAAGAGACATTCTTTTTTAACAAGGGTATTGGATATTAGAAGGTCCTATCTTGTTTTCTTTTTTCTTTTTTAACATGGAAAAGGAAGAACAATAAAATTTAAAGAGAAGACATTTGTAACTGGGTAGGTGTTTTGTAATTGCATTTCTGATGTAAATAATCCTTTTCAATGGGAATTATTTCCCATATCAATAAACAATCATTTGCTAGCAAAGGTGAGTGTCTTTGTTAACACAAGTATTTCCTTTTATTTTCTTAATAACTTGTTGGCATAACTTGCATGCAGCATTGTTTAATGAAATTTTTTTTCCCTTTTCTTGAATAATCGAACTCGATGGACTCCATTCCTAATATTGTTGAAAATACGACTTCGCGTGGATGTACGGGCTTGAGTGTTAGCTGGGTCAGTTTCTTTTTTTCACAAAATAGGATGTTTTTTTTTTTTAGATAGTAACAACATTATAAGGTTATAAAAATTTTCTTTTTGAATTTTTAATTGGGCCCTTTAGAATTTTTTTGTCTATATTATTCTCAAAATATTTTTTGTCTCTAAAAAAATTAAAAATTTGAAATATTTAAAAAAAAAAACCTTCAAAATAGAGGTCAATTGGTCAAAGATACAAATTAGAGATATTAATAGATACTTTTAGAAATTTACATTGTACAACAAATTAACAAACGATTAAAAAAAATATCATTATGTTGAGTGCTAATTTCTTTGTTATTTTTATTTTATTTTTTTCCTTTAAAAAAAATATCTAACTTTACACAAAACATAGGGCTGAGTATAACAACATAACATATCTCTCGTGGAACGAGGTACGCTTCAATACTTCAGTCAATTTTTAAATTTTATTGCTTAAGTAACAAGTAAGTAAAAAATAAAAAAGATGATAAGAAATGGTGTTTAGTTATGTGTAGAGATGAGTGTTCTATTCCTTTTTAAAGAATTGTTCCATGGCTTACTATGATGAAGTTTAGATGTGGGTGGCTAGTAGGGTAACGTAGCCTACTGCTACCTTCTCGGCTGGTAGGATAGTGATTTGTCTATAGATGGTAAAACAAGAAAACGATAAAAAAAAAAAAGGCACACCGTGCAAAAAAAATACTTTAAAAATTATACAAAAAATAATCTTAAGAGAGTAAATCTGTCTTCATGACAGCCTGAGGATGGGCTCCTGATACTATTGAATACCTACGGTGTAAAAATTTATCCATGTCCATGCTTGCACGAAAATGTTGCGTTTATGGGCATGTCAATCACGAAAATGTTGCGTTTATGGGCATGTCTTTGAGTATTTATTATTTTTTGAATTTGTGAGAGATTTTTATCAACATTTTATAGAGAAAAATCCATGAGTATTTGGAGACAATTTGTCGCAGTACTTGGAGATAGATGTTCATGCAAACCTGAAAACATAACAGAGATTCAATGAAGATCTTACCATGGTAATTTTATGGAGATATCTTATGTTTGGAGATATGAGTATGCACTTTTTTTAAAATAAATAATTCAAAAAAAGTTTGGAGATATGAGTATGCACTTTTTTTTTTAAAATAATTCAAAAACAGATAAATATACAATTTCTAAATTTTTATTTTATTTGAAGTAGTGTATCATAAAATTTTTTTTCTTGTTTGATCATATCCTATCTCATCTAGTATAAATTCTTGAAGTTTATCCTTTTAAAATCAATTTTTTTTATCTTTTTTATAAATACATGACACTTTTTTATGTCATGTTCATGATTATGGTGGAAGAAACATAACTTATTGGGAATTTTTTATTTTTGAATTGCTTTTCATTCAAGGTTGGTATTATAAAGAGTTTTTTTTTTTATATTAATGACAATCAACACCCTAACATGTGTTGTTATGAGAAGTGTAGTGATGAACTTAAAAAATATTAGGTAATTATGAATATGTTTTATGATGTTTTTTTTAGATGTTAATATTAGATATTGATAATGAGGTAAAAATTCTACTTTTACGTAGAAACATGAGTGAGCTTGTTTAGTTACATTAGCTTTATTTTTTTTTGAAGTTATAAATCATTTATAATATTTGTAGCATATCTCTTGTATCTCTGTATCTTGTACTTTCTTGTATCTATATAACTTAACCTTTTCCGGGGGGGAAAATCTATATAACTTAACCTTTTCCGGGGGGGGGGGGAAATAGAAGAAGAAAGGAGTGTTATATCCCTTTTAAAGAATTGTTCCATGAGAGTGGCTGGTAGAGCAGCGTAGCTTACGGTTTCGACTGGGTGGCGTAGCCCGGATACCCTTTCGACCACCAGGGTGGTGCTTCATGTCTAGATCTAGACTGTGAAATAGAAAGTGATTAAAAATGACGCACCGTCTAAAAAGAATGTTTTAAAAATCATACGAAAAATAATCATGAAAGAGCTCGCCTGCCAAAGCAGCCTCGACGTGGGCCGTCCAAAGCAGCCACAAGGGTGGGCTGTCATCAGCCTTATGCCATGGCACTATTCATGGATAAACTGGACTTATACTATTCACTGAAACAGTAAATTAATGAGCTTAAAATAAATAATTCATGGACGAGCTGAAAAATTATACAAAAATGATTTCGGGAGTCAGCTTCACACTAGCAGCCTCAATCTGGACTGCCCGAGGCGGTATCGGTGCAGGCTGGCCAAGGCAGCTCTGGTGTGGGCTGCTGCCACCAGGGGCGGACCCAGAAAATAAAATTTAGGAGCAGGCAGCAGCCTGTGCCCATTTTGGAGGTGCTGCCTTGCAATTTTTTTTTTTTCCAGTATCATCAATTCCAAAGGTTGGTTTGGACCCAAGAAAATTTACTCTCCCCTTTTAACTTTCTAAATTTCAATTTAAAGTCTAATATTTAAAAATATTTATTATTTTGAATACGATGTGTTGTCAAAAATGTTTTTTTTTTATAAAAAAAGGAAAAGAAAAACCTATAGAATAAAGTAAAACAAAATAAAAGGAAATAGAAATAATTTACTTCATTGAAACTACAGGTATAAATTAGGGACTGAGTTATATTTTGTCCTAAAAATAATTCTCTTGTTTTTGCTCTTTATCCCCTCCTTTTGGGATAAGCCCTGATTTCTCACTTGATCCTCCACGTACACGCATCAATGGCCATCACCACTGTAACTCTCTCCTCCCTCTCCCTCCACTCCACCACCACACCCCGCCTTTCCTTCCTCAAGCCCACCACCAAACTCCACCCTTTATCCCTATCCATCTCTCCCAAATCCTCGTTTCTCTCCCCCCTTTCTTATCACCCCAAAATCATAACGATAATTACGAAAGCCAATTCGAGTGACATTGACACTTCCTTCTTTGACAATCTTAATCCAGAAGAAGAATTTGTTTTTGACCCACCAACCCCGCCTGAAGACTACATTCCTCCACCATCCTTTGACGAAGGTCCATTGGAAACTGAAGAAGAAATTGCTGCAGCTTACGAGGAACTTTATGGTCCTGCATATAGTGGAGTTAGTGTTTTAGGAAAGGATATTTATGTAATGGATTCTAAGGTTAAAAAAACTAGTGGGTGGGGCTCAAGAGTAAAGAAGGAGAAAATTAAAGATGGGTTTGACGAGAGAGTTGTTCAAGTTCGGAGAGTAACTAAGGTTGTTAAAGGAGGGAAACAGTTGCATTTTAGAGCTGTTGTTATTGTTGGAGATAAACAAGGTCGAGTTGGGGTTGGGGTTGGAAAAGCTAAGGAAGTTATTGTTGCTGTCCAGAAATCAGCTCTTAATGCTAGAAGAAATATCATTACTGTGCCTATGACAAAGTACTTGACTTTTCCTCATAGGTAAGTCTCTTTTCTTGAAAGTTTTAATTTCGATTTTTTTGTCGAAATTGGTATTTTTATGTGGTTCTGTTGATTTGTGTGAATGTCGATTTTGTAATCTGGGGCTAATTTGGTGATGGTTGCATTCGGTTCTGTTCGCATTTTTGTTTAAGTGTGATGGCTTTGCTTCACGGTAAATTTTTCTTGAATATTTGGTTTTAAGTGAGTTTTGAATTTGCAGGTGCTAAGGCTTTTAGGGTCTGATTGATTGCGAAAAAATCTAACATTTTGTATAGGAAAGTTGTTTGGTTTCGTTGAGAAGCTATTTTAGGGTGTTTTGGAGATGGTTAGTTTGCAAAATTTGAGATAGAAGCTATTCAGTTAAGTCTTCTTGTTTTTCTTAAATAAAACTGCAGGTTTATGGGAGTTTTCTGAACAGAATCTTGCTGTAGAACCCTACTGAGGTGAAACGTGAATATAATTTGTGGAGTCGATTGGCTCTATAGTTTCAAGTTTACGCTCTGAAATAGGTTGTATTTGCCTAGGAGGTGAAAAAGAATATGGTATATCATCTCAAGTCAATTGGCTCATATATTTCAAGTTATAACTCTGAAGATAGGTTTAGATATGCACCTGCTGTTTTCTATTTTCTCTTCTACAATGAACTTTTGTTTTTTTGGGTGTGTTGAGAGCTGCAACTGTCACTTTGAACTTTACAAGATACATGATTTACACCAGTAGAAGAAGTTGCTGACATTTATGCACTTGGTTATAGGGTATGATTGTTAAGAAAAGAAATTTTCATTTACTGTGAGACTGGAGCATGTCCAGAGCCTTTTTGGTGCATATTTGAGAATGATAAAGATATTGGAACATGATGGATGCATAATTCACAAGAATACTCCGGTTTTACTCTGCTCACTGGAGCATGTCTTGCATTTTGCTCATTTGGGTTTTGATTTAATGGATCAAACAATTTCAAATATTAGCTTATTTAGTGACAAAGCATTTTTAACAATTGAATGGCAGATCTGAGGGAGATTTTGGGGCAGCGAAGGTGATGCTCAGACCTGCTTCACCTGGTACTGGAGTGATTGCTGGAGGTGCTGTGAGAATTGTTCTTGAAATGGCAGGTGTTGAGAATGCATTGGGAAAACAACTTCGAAGTAAGAATGCCCTCAACAATGCCAGAGCCACAGTTGTTGCAGTGCAAAAAATGAGGCAGTTCAGTGAAGTTGCTCGTGAACGTGGGATCCCAATGGAAGAACT